ATAAGGCCGTGATAGATACAAAAATGATTTTTCCACTCTTAGCGATATTGCTATACAAAATCAACCCAAATTAGGTAAACGAGCTACGTATTAATAACCAGATCTGACTACTTTGTTGGTAATAATCAGTACCTATTGTCATCATCATCCATCTCAAGGTGATCTACCTGATATCGTCATCATCATCAACAGCCTTTAATAGTCCACTGCTGGACATAAGCCTTTCCTGAGAAAGGAGGTTTACCTGATATCGATTTGTCATAAAATGAAGAAACGTAGAAATAAGACGATTTACACATTATACGGACGAAGTGATGAATATAGCATAATTCGACTTAATTCGTAATGTTCATAGTTTAGAAGAAACCCAACCTATTAACAAAAACAAATAAAAAAAACAAATTGGATGAGTAGGTAATGTCCCTACCCTGTTCTGTAGAGTAATACAAACCTGTTTCATTCGATTAATTTAATAATAACCACCTTGTTATTACTAAATCAATAATTATGTTGACTCAAACTAAATGATCAAACTAAAACTATATGACTGCAAGGATGGCGTAGCGGTTTAAGCGGTCACTTCGCCGGTTCTTACTGCGCCGAGTGTTGTGGATTCCATTCCCAATTCGGACAACACTGTTTGATCCACAAATTGTTGTTCCAAGTCTGGGTGTTCTTTGTGTCCGTTTCAGGAATGTTTGTAAAGTCTCCCGTGACACAGGATATATTCCTAGTGCGGGAGTTGCTATATTAAAAGCGGAAAAAAATGGCTATGTTGTAATTGTATTCGTTTTAAGCCTTATCAGATTTTTGTGTAATAAGAAAACCTGATCACTTGTAACGGAGCATTGCATCCATTTAGTCAGGTCAATGCCGACCTCTTTACCGTTATCCGAGCTGCATGAGGCGTTGATAGGCACTAAGGCATTTTGTGTTGCACATTTTTATTCAATTGCAATAGGTCATCATCTCATCTGAAAGACATCCACTGCCTTCCTCAAGGATCGCCACAACAACCGGTGTTATGCTGCCCGCATCAGGTCGTAATAAGTTTTATGTATTCAAAATATGTCAATAGCTATATACAACTTAATAATCATATGGCTGTACATAAACTAGACCTCTTTCACTGGACATCATTCTTGCACATTTCCATAATGTTCACTAACATTAAGATGATTATGGTTATCATTTCCTTTAATTATTAAGTAATGTGTTTCAACAGAAAAAAAAACATCGTTCGTTGATATTTTCGATTCGATCGATTCGTTCGATGATATTTTTGGCGGACGTCCGTGTAGGAAAATGGTCATGAAAATCGTCCTTTCATGTGTGCTCTTGGTTTTAGCCCCTCGCTATGTCTCGCTACATCACACTATGAAAAATTCATAATGTTCAGACAGTGTTATAGATGATGAAATGTGTATATTATTATGTACATATGACCTCTTCCATAAAAAAAAATAACACCAAGTATATCCGATACTTGGCTTTATTTATTTTTTTATAAAAAGGCAGACGAGCAGATGTCATATTCCTTACTCATATTGCCCGAGTATTTATATATACTGTCTTCAATAACTTGACCCATGTACATCTACAGTTATCAGATATCAGAGATCATTATATTAGGAGGAGCATAGAGATTTAGGCAAGGAGAGCGAATGACCCCATAGATGTTAATCACCATAACCGCTTAACATTATCTGTCCTTTGCCCTCGTGATACACCTTGGCTGTACTCCAAATATGTCAGTGTTATGTCAAATTATTTATAAGTTTAAACATTCCATGGCTATAATTATATGCAGGACCTTGATTTTGTATGAACTCATTAGATCTAAATTTAATTACATTTCAAATTTTTACCTAAATACATAAATTATGTTCCATTAGATTTTTTAATCTTAGTGTATAAATATCTTGTATGTTTTTTATGTATCTTGTTTACCTTTAAATTATAAATAGGTACATATTAAAATTTTAATATCGGTTCATCCGTTCGGGAGCTACGATGCCACAGACAGACATACACACACACACACGTCAAAGTTAAAACACTCGTCGTTTTTGCGTCGGGGTTTCAAAAATAAATGCAATCGCTCCTATTTAAAGGTCCTATGCTACGTACACTATCGTATGAATTACCATTTTTAATCGATATTTCTAAAAAATAGAGTTCCATTTTTTTCCCGCTGGTCGATAAACTACAGAATAGACACACATTTCAGGGGTACTCATGTTAATTTTTTCGGCCCCAGCTGTTCTGAACGTTTGAGTTAAACTCAAGTGGGTTCGCATTACGCAGTAGTACTATACCAATATTCTAGTACTATACTTACTAAACAGGGTTAGTGCTAGCAGCCTCTAGACCATAAGTTTATGGTCTAGCCAGATACTGAAGAATCATGCGAAAATCACAGTAGAAGCTGATAATTACTTTTCATAAACATTAATCAAATAATTTGGAAGTCCAATAAGACAGTGAAAAAAGACATTAAAGATTTCATTGTGTTCCCGTCGTAGAGATAATAATAGCTAGAGGAGAGAAGCGAGGTACGACCCGGGGACGTTGGTAGGAAGAAGACGGCGGCCCGAAGTAGTCACCGTCTTCTTTCTCTTCGCTATTCCACTTACAGGTAATCCAATACCTTCTCCCCTCTATCTGAATTATCTCTATGGTTCCTGTCTCCAAGATTTCAATATCGGCAGAGTCAAACAAAAATTTCTTAGCAGGCATCTAATACCTACTTATTTTAAATATTGCCGATAAAATTAATATAATAACAAATAAGAGCCTCATAACTTAAATACATATTTAAGTATATGTTTATGCAACTATTTAGACACTAAAATGTCCTATTGAACCCCTACAAAATGTATATTAAAAAGCAGTACACAATAAATAAAAAGATCCTACCAATAGCTCAACACTACCCAAACCAAGTAGAATAACAAGCTAACAACCAATAGAAAGCTATGTTAGCTTGGGGTAAGAATCAGCTCATAATAATATTTTGAATTCACAATAACATGTTTTATATAGAAGAATTATTATCAAACTAGCTTTAACCTGCGGCTCCGCCCGCGTGTGTTTCTGTTATCGCGGTAAGATGTAGCTTTCTATTGGTGAAAGAATTTTAGAGTCGGTTTAGGCGTGAAAGCGTAACAAACAAATTATAATAAAAGTATGGGTAATTGACCTAAAACCAAAGTTATAAATTGCTTTTATAATTTGGCATTTCGGTATAGGTTTAAAAATAATGAACAGTTGACACTATAAGGGCAAGTCAATAATTTAGTCAATAGATAGTAATTTAAATCAAAGACAACGAGGAAATATAAGACAGATATTAGCCGTTTCTCTTTTAAATATAACTACTGATATAATAATAAATAAAGCTCATGCATATTTCTATCCTAATATCAAAACCACGCGACTTGGGCAACAGACCCGTTCTAGTAAAGTTGACGTTTAAACAACAGTACAATGTTTGATACTTAAACAGGATAGATCTTTGTATGTTTATCTTCATGGGGATCCGTATTTGAAACAACTAAAACAAATCCACCTTTACTAACCTCTTCAAAATTTAATAATAATATTTTGGACATCTGACACAACCCCATCTAGTTTCAAACTAAGCAGAGCTTGTATTACGAAATGATTGACTGATAGAATTCTTTTTTTTTTTTTTTGTAAATACATAGATACATATTATACATAGAAAACACCCAAACCTAGAAGTAAACCTTTGCAGATCATACAAACATTTGGTCCGACCCGGGAATCGAACCCGAGACCTCAGCACAGCAGTTGCATAAACTACCACTGTGCCACGGAAGCCGTCATTTGAAAAGATTGGTATTTAGACACAAGGCCTCGTCTTTATATGGGAGTTTTGATTTCACAAACAAGCAACACGAATGTCAATTTCGTAAAAAATTATCGAAATATAAAAATTTGACAAAATATTTCAATTTCAGTGGCTTATAAAAAATGTAGCAAATACAGAAACCGACACTAAATATTGTTAATTACCAATGATAAGTGACTCTTTTCATTGTTTGCTATTATTGATTAGTTTTATTGCAAAAACTGTTTTTTTAACAATATAATTTCGTGATGAGAAACGAGCGTATTTAGTGACAGCGAAAATGATACTGAGATCGTGGTCAACTTTTTTTAACTATTATTTTACAGTTCTGACATTGCTGTAACGTGCCGGCTCGTTTAAAGTGTATATCTGCGGATACGGATAATTAGTGTATCACGGCTTTGTACGTCAGAAGGCCCATTCTCGTAATAAAAGTTCGGTCACAATTCAGTTCCAATCAGCTCTCGATCGCGCAACTATGTATTATAATTTTACATACTTTTATATTACTATTATATTTTCGTAGTAAAAAAGTAATCTTCAGTTACAATACGATGTATAGTAATCACATTACAGTCAATATTGGATGAAAATATATTTTATGACAGTTGTGAGATCGAGGGTTGATCGGAACTGAATTGTAACCGAACTTTTATTACGAAAATTGGCCTTCAGGTTTATTCTTAGTTAATGTCACCCACGGATATCCGCGGTGACAGATACGGCTATCCGTACCATTACTAGTATTGACAAGCAACGTAGAATGTAATGAGATGAAGGCATACGCTTTTGGGGCATTCAAGAATAAAGAGTTAATAAATGAATTAAAATGCATATTTATAAAAACATATTTTATTACTTATAGTACCGGAAATTCGATAATTTACTGCGAAAAATATAATTACAACGAAGGTAATTTTTCGATTCGGCTATTTAAATAGTCTCTAGATCTAATGAATAGTCGGGAATAACCACGCACTGGGCGTGGCGGTCGCTACTCACACACTCACACGTGGCACGCATCACTACACATGGGCACGGAACGCCGAACGCGCTCTCGGCGGAGGGCGCGTGTCGAGGGACGTCGACACAGGTCCGCCGCCACCGCTATCTTACTAACTATCTAAGAACTGCCAGAGATTTTTTCTTCCGAGCTCTCTTCATTGGATTCTTGGCTTTTTTCAGCACTAGAATTTTCCTCCGAACTATTCGCTGCCTTAGGCTGGTCAGACTGAGGTTTCTCTAGTTTTTCAGATGGTTCAGCTTGTTTGACTGGAGCATTCTCGGCAGGCTTTACTTCTTTGGCAGTATCATCCTGCGCAACATTCTTAGCTTCTTCCTCTTTTGGCTTTTCAACCTTATTCTCTGGCACAACTGCAGGAGAGACGCCTTCAACGGGTTTGTTGTCTTCAACAGCTTTGTTTCCTTCAACAGGTTTTGTATCTTCAAGAGGTTTGTTGTTTTCAACAGACTTGCTGTTTTCGACAGGTTTGCTGCTTTCAACAGGTTTGTTTTCTTCAACAGATTTGCCTTCTGCAACGGGTTTGCTGTCTTCAACGAGTTTGCTTACTTCAATGGATTTGCTCTCTTCAGCTGGCTTGTTGTCATCAACGGGCTTGCTAACTTCAACGGGTTTGCTAACTTCAACGGGTTTGCTGTCTTCAACAGATTTGCCCTCTTCAATTGGTTTTACTTCACTGATTAATTCTTCTTTCTTTTCTACATTGATTGATTTGGGCTCTTCTGCTGATTTTAATTCGATTTCTTTTTCATCTTTCTTGTCATCAACCGTTTCACGAACTACACGTAAACTATCATCATCAGATACAGCAGCTGGTGCTGCAGATTTAGCAGCAGTAGGTGCGCTGTCTGAAACTGCTTCAGGTTTGTTTTCAGGTTTTGGTTCTTCAGCTTTCTCTTCTACTGACTCTACTTTTTTTGGTTCTGGTTCAGCAGCAGGGGCTTCTACGGGTAAATCAATTTTCTTTTCAGGCTTAGGTTTGATTACGTCCCCTTCGGCGGCAACAGCTTCGTCACTTTTTGCAGCTGGAACAACATTGGCGGATTCCTCGGGGGCGGCTGATTTGGCAGAAGCATCCTTAAGAACTTCAGTTACCGTTGCTGGCACTTCAGCTTTTGACTCCTCAACTGATTTAACTTCAGGTTCAGCTGCTTTTTCTTCTGGTTTGGATTCAACCACTTCTTCAGCTTTTTTTTCAGCCGGCTTTTCAGCAGTTTCAACTGGTTCAGCAGCCTTGGGTGCCACTTCGCTCTTTACTTCCGATTCCTTCTCGGGGTTCGCCGGTACGGCATCAGCTTTTTTTGATTCATTTTCTATGTTTATGGATGCGCTCTTAGCTTCAGGTTTAACTTCGACTTCTTTAGCCTCTGACGGTGCATCTGATTTCTTTTCTTCGACAGCTGCTGGTTCATCTTTGGGTGCCTCAACTTTGGGTTCCGAAACAGCAGCAACTTCCGGTTTTTCTTCAGCCACTGGCATCGCCAAACTAACAGCCGCGAAGGCCAAGCAAAGTAGTATAACCTTCATTCTGAAACAAAGAAAAGGTAAATTAGTGATATAACAAAGTAATAACACAGATAACTATGGTTTGAAATGCACGTCTGCAAGTCGTGAAGGCGTAAAGGCCAATGCTACGCTTCACTCAAGTTTAGCGTTCACAGCAATTTTCCTATTAAGAATAAATTATCTAAGGGCTAGAGGCTGTGGGGACGGGCTCCTATCTTCAAATTATCTTGAATTAAATTCGTTTGAAGAAGGATGTCAACTATTACATCGACTATGATAACCCTTTCTAAGGAACTTTCACAACATAACGGCCGAAAGCGTTATTTTAAATAATTGAATTATTATTATATGTATTTAATAAAAAACTGTTATTATCTTTTTAGAGGTATTATAGTAAATATAGCGCTGCGTTGTGAGGCTCATCTTTTTCTCTTTAGTAATAAAGGTCGAACACCTCAGTGACTTCTATTTTTAGACCGTACTAACTGAAGGTAAGGCATTAAGGCGATAGTCTAGCTCCCATTGGAATGCGGTCTGGCGCCACACCGCAAATAGCGTGCTCCCTGCGATGAGACTAATTATCTTAAAATAGCTTAGTATTACTAATATTCCAGGTATTAGTTATAAAAGCTATGGAAATATCCTGCTTCACAGGTTATAATAGTAGATTTTTTAATGCTTTCATGGAAAGAAGTATTTTCTCATTTAGTTTGTAGGTTTAAAAAAGGGTATTACTAGTATATATATTGTACATCTTTAAAACAAGTGTTGTAATATGTATATATCGTCTATGATTATGATCAACTTGTGATAGACACTTCCTAGTGCGTGCAGAAACACGCAGGATGTGAAACGCGCGTCAGAAATATGGATGATCAGACTAGACGTACACAACGCATTATCTGAATTTTAATTGGCTCATTGACTTGAATAGACCATCTAGAATGCAATACATGGTAGCAAGTGAGTGATTCACACATACGCATTTGTCTTACAGCGTTTTATAAATTTTAGGCTTGTATTTTAAAATATACTTATTTGATCATTACAATGTTACGTATGTGTATTTTTGGATGTCTTTCCATTCCATGAACCGACTTTAATTAGAAAAATCCAACGAAAACAATTAAGAACAAAACGTATCTTATTTTATTAATATCGTATGCAAGATAAAACTGTTTTCTTTGTTTTTACATGTACCCTTAAGCTTCATTACACAAGTCAAGTTCAATACGTAATGAGGACCAGTTCCATAATTTCTTGGTTACCGGTTATTACGTACACAATATTCTTACTTCATTTTATACTCGGGCTACGTACTCTTAATGTAAGTCTTTTTCTTTTTCTTGCTACATATTTGGTCTCGACCACCTAATAAATGCTTTAAACTTATCCCTGTAACCCTATATGGTTTATTGATTGAAAATAAACATTGTAATGAGATAATTGGCTTCAATGGCATTTATTTATGTAAGAATGCATTTGGTAATGTGCAGACAGCTGCAATTTTGATAACATGCAACTATCACGTTCAGATGTGAACATATTTAATAGTAGGATTTGTCCTGCTGTCTTCCAAGAGCTTAAAAATCATGATACAAAATGCATTCGTATTTCGAAAAACTGGTTTTATCAATAAAGCGATGAACCGAGTACGGCCATTGCTCTGCAACCCTGAGACACCATCTCATTGTATGTAATTAAGTGTTATTACTGCATAAAGTTATCGCTCGTAAATTTACTATTAAACTAGCCAACGGCGGGAGCTTGTATTGCACTATTCCCCTTGCTATCTGCAAGTTCATATGTGTCGAATTTAATTCAATTTCTTTAAAATATATAAACAAATATTACCACAAAGTGTTTACAAATATAAAACTTAATCATATTCATTTAAGTGATCACATAATACACTTACTTTGGAAGTATGTTTATAGCTAATGCAGTCACAATAATTCTAACATGCTTCACTTATGCGATTGTTCGCTGAGTTTTTTTCTGGAAGGATATCCTCGGCGGGCTGAGGGCAAGGATTATGATCCTCCCACACGACGCGACAATCTTCCAATTGAAACCCAGCGCATGCTGGCTTATTGCGCTAATATAAAAAATTGCTGCCGCCTGGTGGGCACGTCGGCTCAAACATCGCACTCAACATGACGGGATACTTTAACTTATTCCTCTTTACATTTCAATAACTTGTACGTGCTATTTACTATTATACGTACGTGTTATTACTGCTATTTATTTCTTTTTTATATAAATTATATAGTAAAATCTGTATAAATGGCCTTAAATCGTTTAGATCGCTTTTGTAAGCACATTTTGATAAATATGTCAAGTGTTACGGCTGACCGAACAATTTTACGAAATGCACACATTTGAACGGTCTCCGACCATTGGACCGTGATAATTTAAAATTATTTTTTGATCGCTATTAATATATCAAGCTATAGAGTTGATTCTATAATTGTTTATAGAGAAATCGAGCTCAAGTTTTCGATTTCAATGAAAACAGGAATCTTGTATTGAAATCGAATGCTGTAAATTAATTCGAGGGCATCTTAAAGTTTGTCGGTCAATGCACCTTAAATTGTTATTATTGAATATTTTTAAAGGCATATCAAAAGTAAACGATGCATTCAAAATTATAGTCATTTTTAGTTGTTTGACTATGATGTAAGAAGGCGTATTGTAAAGTACAGTAATCAACATTATATGTTGCATCAGTATTTTCTACAAGTAGGTTTCATCGATATGTTACAAGGACTTTATAATGTGCATTGTAATTACCCAGGTACACCATAATAGCCCCGTTTTCTTTATCTAGCTAGTTAATCATAAGCTCTGATGTGAATCTATACATATTTTTTCTTCTGGCAACCTGAGGTTGATTTTCAGTGTAGCCAATGTAGGAATTTGCTTCTAAAATCGGGGAGAAGCTTGAACTATGAAATTATTAATTAAGGAAGTACTATTTAATGCTTTTAGGACATATAATTAGGTATATTAGCAGTTTCAATGAACATGTGAGTTGAATATAAAGTTAAGTTATCTATTCATATACCTCATAACAGAAGGTGCCTTTGAGGTTGTTTCTCTGTGACACTGTGTGATCTATAGCTTTGTTAATATTGCAACCATGCACGTACTCGTATTAAGTTAAACCACAATTGTTTCAAATTGCGTCTAGAATATTACCAACGCAATACATTTATTAGCAATAGTAAGCTGATTAAAAAGTTTACAAGGAGATGAAATAAACTCAGTACAATTTGTTACAAATTACTACACAGTATACCTACGGTAATCGTGACGATTTGTGAACCAATTATGTGTTTGCTCTGTACAAGCCCGCTAATCAATGTGTCACAATAGAATTTTCACAATCGTTTTGTATCGACATGTGGAACACGTATTCTATAGTAATTTAAATACATTGGTGCCAATTCTGTTGTTCAAAAATTCGTTTAGTTCTGTCAAACAACGTTTCCTATTCTGAAAACGTAATATTTTTACAAATTTATTTTTTAGTGATTTTTAGTTTAGTTTAGAGAGTTTTCGAACAACCTAATTAGCACCATTATCTCATACTTAAAATAATCTCATACACCAGTGACTAAATTGCCGATGACAACATATTTACCGTACATAATTGAATTATGATTCGGCTAGACGTGATGCACTGTTGATATAATTATTAGTAAACATAAACATCCGCCGTTTATAACATATATTTTGTTTTCCGTCTGTCGTTACAAGTGAAATCATAATTTGAGTGCGCCCAACCCACTGATATTTAAGTCCTTCGAAAGATTTCATTGCGCTGGATTGAGTAACATTCGTGTTTAAAGGTTAATATTGTATTTATTTTCTTTGTGTCGATGTGCCCAGGTGCACAATGAATGCCACACTGATGATTCCACTCACAAAATACCTCAGACAGGTTTGGCATTCTTCCGATGTCTGATTATTGTGAAATATATTCATTTTCATTTACATATGTACCTACTTGTGTTTATTGTATCTAAATAGGTAGTTGGTATATTAGTGAATCGAACATGATTTTATTGATAACTAAATGATTAAAAAATAATTATGGGGTTTCAGTTTACTGAAACCGAAAGTTGTTTCAAACCATAGACTAAATTTTAAAATACATGATAGTCTTATGTCTATGGAACTAGAGAGTAAAGAAGTAGAATATACTTTCTAAAATTTTGACCCAGGTTTTAAATTATTAGTGTCCAGTGTCTAAAATATACATAGAGCATGACCATAAGTCAAAGAAACTATTTAAGAAAGTTCAAATTTTTGTCATTTTTAATGAAGTTACACTGTAATTCCTTTTAAAAGTTAGTGCTTGAATACAGCAGAATAAAAGAGTCTCTAAATTTAGTTAACTATGGCCCTAGACTTAAATTTATTAGCACGACTCCTTGTATACGTTATGTTTTGTAAACAACGTCGGAGTTCAAATGTTGTATGTGTTATACAATTGCAACTGTTCTTTGGCGTAGTACGTAAATGAGTACGGTTAGGGACCGTAAATTTGATATTGGTAAACATATTTCGGTTCTTTATTTAGAATAAGACATTCGAACCGTTATAATAGGCTAAATTTTGCACAGAAAAAAATCTGAACAGTTGACTAAACAGATTAGTTCGACCTAGTTTTTTTTTCAAAGCACGTTTCTTGCTTTCTACAAAAAATGACCTGGTCTGGTAATCTGGTCCATAGTTGCTCCTGATAGGCAACTTTCTATTACTACAATCGCCAAAAACTTCTAAAGAAATAACTGTAGGGTTACCACCCGTAGTAAGCTTTACCTACATTGAGAAAGCATAACAGAACAAAACAATTTAATTTCTCCATTAGTCTACAACTTCATCTTCATTTCATTAATTTCTCTGCTATATGTACTTTTCATACGCTGTTGTATAGCCTATGAGCTGCACACAAAGCAAATAGCACTTCTAGCTGTCATACCTGTCATTCGTTTTTTAGTTTGAAAGGCTGTCATCCCTATCGCTCCACGCGTTGTATCGTAGTAAGTAAGTACGTACGTACGTAAGTATCGACCCACGGTTCATTGTCATATTGGGAGTACATATAAGTTCTATCCGGTCGACAATAGCATCTCACTCGCATAAATCTAATACGCCGATGTGTGACAATCGCTTTTGATGGATTATTTAGCACAAACGCTGTGAAGTAATCATGCAGCTCGTGGACTATATTACATAGTCGCATATTGGAAATAATTTCTTTCACAGAACGTACTTTATCACTTTTATACCCCATGTATTTTAAAATTAAATAATTGCATGTTTGCATTTCACTAGGAAATAGAAATGGACACAAAACCTTTGTAATTGTAAATTTGTCGGTTAAAAGAGCAAAAAACTAAAAAACAGCTATGCTAAAATTTCAATCAGAGCAAGATAGTAATAGACTAATTTAATCTTTAAATATTTTTTTCTTTATTCGGAAAACTCACTGTGGGTACAGCTAATTAAAAAAACAGATTTTAAACATACCTGGTGATATGAATATGATTATATATTTTATTTGTGATGTTTACCCAACAAACGCTATGACCAAATCAAGAATCGAATGCTCGTTCTGTTTTTATTATGACCGCTAAAAATGTACACCTATCACTATACGATAATACACATGTTCAATTTTAGAGCTGATTTATTCCATTACAAAAAATTACATGTTAAATCAAATTTCTAACTGCAGTTTTTAAATTTTATAAAAAAACATGGCTTTTACACATTATGTTTTTTGACTAAAACGGTTTTAGTCAAAAAACATAATGTGTGAATTCGACAGCAGCTGATGAAGCCATTTTGATTTACGACTACCACGTGTAGTGCATTTTGAATGTATGCAAATCTCTATTAATGCAACTCTATGCGACTTTCATTCCGTATCAAATCATTTCTGTGTAATAGAATGCTCGGTTGGAATTAACACATAAACGTATTGAGCGCAATCAAACTATGATTATTTTTATGACAATTATGTTTTAAACTTACATAAATATATTTTCTATTTGCCACTATATTTGCTTAACTTATTAGATACGAGTATCTTATGATCGTATGATGAACAGGTATTTCACCTGTTCATTGTAAATAAATTACATAAAACGTTTTAGTACTCCTTTAACTGGAGAAATTAGAAACCACTATAGTGTGTTTTATTTAAATAAACCTCTTTTATAAAACTGCTACCAATATTAATGGCGCTTGAATTCTCTAAATCGACCGTTCTTGACCGATTTTATATTATTATTTTACAACCTAAGCAGTAATTTTAATGTTTTTATACTGCATCTAATGTGTTATTTCGAAATCAATTAAGTAACAGAAAAATGCGTATTTGCTACTCGAGTAAGGACACAGATTGTATAGTTGAGACCTCGAAGTTATTTCGACTACAAACAAAGTTTGAAATAGAAAATTTAAAGAAAAGGTAAACCCACAGATAAAGAGAACTGGTTATACAGCATGGACAGTGCAGTGTTAGAGCATCATAGGTCAATGCCAGCGGAAGAAGTGAGTTTGTGTAACGGCACAAACCGCCCGGACAAGTGCGAAATGTCAACAAAACTCGGCACCTCCACTCCCGAGTATTAAACCGACGACTATTACTTAACCGATATATACTTTATTACTTGACATTTTTCGTATTACATAAATGAGACGTACTAATTTATTTAATGTTACGTATTATGTAAACGCTTACGCCAAATTAATATTACAAGATTTACAGATGCTGACATTTATAACAGTTATATTGTTTGGTTTGTGTTTGTTCTGTAACCATGAACATCACAATTCGATATTTGAACCATGACAGTATCAAAGTTTTTATGCTTAAGTACAAATAGCAAGATTAGCCTTGCTTGTTCAGCATGGAAATATTTATCATTCTGTTAGATAATAGACGTGACTAGTTACCTTGGGCTACCTTACTAGTCACTTAGAACTTTAGCATACTTCTAAATACCTATACGTATTGTATTGCGTTTATTCATAGGGTAACAAAGAATTACAAGGGATATTTCCAGTTAGAATCAAAATTAAGTAGTCAACGATCCACGACTCTCACGGAAATGTACTGCGCAAATTATATTGTTGGTTGCGTCGGCGGGAACGTATTCAAACTGACGTCGAAGCAAATTTATGGATCGCAGATGTGTTAGTTTTGCTAACTATCCATGTCTATCATGCACTTAGTTTATCGCCTATTGTTTAAAATTATTTTCAAAATTGTTCGCTATGAATGTAAGCGCCATTTCTTCAGTTTTGGTGAAATGGAATGGAGGTTTTATTATTTTCTACCTCTAATTATGTTTTGAATAATTTACAGCGTGAAGTATTTTTTATATTGTTGACATGTATTACTAGTAGGTGTAAAATACATATTTGTTTGAAAAATAAGTTTTTGTCGGTATTTCAAATGAGGAATCACGTTCCACTTGCTTGCTTTTTGGATTGAAGTGTAATTTAAATCAATTTTTGGATTATTTTCTGGTCGAATAATAGTTGTTACTTGCGCGGGTTTGAGTCATACCACAAGCAGATTTTTTTCCAGTTGCAATAGCTCAAGCGGTAGATGTTATTGGTGCGATGTTTTTATCGAAGTTTTGTTTCGCTCCAGTCAGCCACCGGGGTCATTAACGACTCACGACCCAGTGTGGCAAATTACTGATTTTGTTGCTGTAATTTCTCATTCATCAACTTTATGGTTTGTTTTATAGTTTCTGCGAATTCATGCATGATTTGAACTTTGCTTTGATTTTAATACTGCCGTAAATTGACGAGGCATCATACTGTTTTTTTTTTTAATTTATTATTAGACGCAAAACTTGATGACTACAGAATTATCTTACAAATTGTTTTATTGTACCTTAATTTTACTGAACATTTTTGCGCTTATATGTACTTATACGTCTATATGACGTTCGATGTAATTTATTCATTAGTAATGCACATAAACTCCTTTCTTCATTTAGTTCGTTCATCCATGTATTTTGTTTAAGTAACATGATTTTCTTCAACAAGACCTCATCATTCTCATCAGACTCTGGCTCATATTCTCTTTATTTCACGTCAATGCTTTTAGAATAAGTCATCTCCTAAGGCGTCTAGTTCATGACAAAACTACAGAAAACCTATACGTTTTATTTTTGTTAACGGGACTTTTATTCCTGTGTGGTAAATATTTGTAATAAAATACGAACAGCTTTTTTCGTTACTAAGGTGTCTTTTTTGACCTCCTATGGTTGTCTGTACTTAAGGCAACCCTACCGTAAAACCTTAATAATATGAGGTGTATATGACTAAGTAATCAGTGTTTCATACGCTATTGAATTACGCAAAAAGTGCAAATGTTTTAGGCGTAAAGGCATTTCAAACCAAATCGATTCTATACGCTTTAGTCTCGCCTGATGCGATGCTACAATTTTGCAAAATTTACCGGAGTGTCGTTTGAGAAATATTCTGGCTTCAACAACGACAGCTATGTCAAAATCAATTAAAATATTTAAAAAATGCAGATTTAAAATTAATCTATATTTTAGAAAAAAAAATGGCACTGTTGAATTTTACTTATGTTTTAATTAATGTTAAAATAATAATTTTTATACTATATTACGGGATAATATGAAATGTGCAGACTTTAATAGATACTAATAGTGTTTTTAATAAAAAAATCATAGATTCATTTTTCGCTGACTAGTGATTATCCATGCCCTCCCATCCCATGACTACAGGAGTATCCATGTCCCGATCATATTCCTGGTCATCCTAGCACGAATTGCGCTACTTGTTTTATTTATTGTCTGAACAGGTTACTGAGCCTATAACCATGGTATTAGTACATTGAATGCAACGTTGATTAATTTAAACTGATTGCTTGAACTAGGGCGCCAAAGAATTGTGAATTACTATAACAATAGTAATTCACAATTCTTTGGCGCCCTATATTCAGTCATGACTATATTTGCGTAAAATATAAGTACTTATGCTGCTTATATGTCGTGAGCCTCCTTGGATAAAAAAATAAAAATTTTAATTATGTGTTTCTTAAATTTGGCCTCAAGGCTTTTTCACAATATTTTGTGATCACGATTTATTAATCCAGACACAATGAGTTTGCTTTGCTCAATTTGCTTATTTCGTATACCGGTTATTGTTGTTGCTGTTAATATTCTATTTACTATTTAGATTGCTTTATTTAAAAAAAGTGAGTTATTTAAAACAAAAAATGAATTATTTATTTTAAGAAATTTAGAAAAGAGAATATTGTGAGACATCTCTATATGCTTTTTCACTTGGTAAAATTGAACTTGACAAAATATTGGTGTTATTTTTTAATACTTACATGTGGATTAGATCCTGTGATGAAACCGTAGAAAATTTGTAATCACTGACACAAGTATAATTTTTTTAAAAAGCTCCAACTTTATTTATTTAATATGAGCGGTCGCTGTGACGGTCGGCTATGTATTGGTGGTGGTTTGTTAATGGTCGTGTTTATATAGCGCTGTTGGGAGACGCGCTGACAGCCGCCGCGATGCAACTAGCCTGCGTGTGAACATCTCATCTCATCCGCTGCTCGGAGCTTTACATTTTAAAATATTGTCTAACTTTGTCGTTTTTTAACTATTTCATAAATACCTCATTTGAAGTTATTAATTATCTTTAATCTGATGTTATGTACGCCATACTTATAGAAATTAGACTTCCAATTTTATTTCGTTGTGGTTCATTATAGTTAAAATACTAACAAGTTTCCTATTAAAAACAATCAAGTATTACGTCTTGGTTAAATATAAGTAGATTCTTTTTACATTTACTTCTAACAATAATAATATTTTGGGGACATTACACAGAACTTTTTAGATCCAAACCAGCAGATCTACCTTGGGTTCTAGAAGACCAGTAATAATACTCAGCTACGTCTTTTTTTTTGTAAATGCCCTTAATATCAATTTACAAATTCAGTGTAGGTACTTGTATATATGACATTACATTAATTCTCTAATAGATGATCAAGATTAACACTTGTATCGAATAGTTACTAAGAATAGAGCTCTTTGAATTATTTTATGTTACATTTTTACGTTCGGGTGGATTTTATTTACCTGCCAGTAGCAGTAGTATTAACTATCACAATATATCTTTGGCTAAAGCTTTTACTGTTTACTTACTCAATGACTGAATTAATATATATTTGTAGCATACGTGACAATCAGGACTGATAGATTTTGAAGCACTAAGTGGCTTGTTATATCACTTTAGTTAATATCCTGAATTATTAAGCCAAGCATGAAAGATATTTAAAAAAAAACAATATAAAAATATCCTGCCTTGTAGCTTATTAGAATAATCCTTCACGCTTTATACATATGTAGCGACATTGCAGAATATCTTGAGACTCAAAGATATAACTTGTAAAGAGTTAGTATAATTTTCATATTACTTAATGTCAATATATTCTGCCAAGGTATTTCACCGGCCTTATTTATACTACTAAAACGGTCATCAGTTGCATCTGTCCATTCCTTCCTAAAACAAAGTTATTTAACAATGTTTATTGTCATTTACACTCAAAAGATATTTTACAACAAGTTTTAACACGTTCAATTGTTTTCCAATATTATCTACCAGTAAATATCTAGGTATATATTAGCATTTTGGATTATGTAGGTATATTTGCTTAAGTAGTGAGAACTAATCTGGCGGTCGTACGAACATTTTGTAAGTAACTTAGAATTAAGATCGCATTCCACAATTACATTTTACTAATCCTTGACCGTTGGGCCGCCACGGATGTGGAATACATTTTGTGTATATGCTTGTGTCAATCACAATTGTACAATAATATCGTAATAGTCTGTCACTAAGTATTCAGTTTCGTTGCAGCATCTTTTATATTATTATCTTAGTATACAATAGAGTCTATTCATCTTATTATATCTCATTCACGGAATAAATTAAGCAAGTTCTGTTCATTCATTTGTCATTGGTTGTCATATTTCTGGTTTGAGAACACATTTAAATTAGTTGTTTATTTATTAAATACGAAACGGTATCGTTGTTTTTGTTTGCATTACAGTTTTCAATAATAAAAAACAAAATATGTGATTTCGGCTATCCGCTGTCTGAGTCACGTGAATTTGTGTGCGTGTGTGTGTGTGTGAGTAATCTTCACGGCTAATCTAAAGAATGGGGCCTTTTTTCTCATCTTTGCGACAACGTCTCTTTGGCAATTACAATAAAAATCTAATTAAAATTTAATTTATTTATTTAACTCACACCATTTCAGAAGTTTAGTAGTTGACGAGTGTCCTGTTAGCTTTATATTTCTTGATTTAGCTGCACGGCGTAACTTAAATCACTGTAATTAATATGACCTATTTTTGTAACAGACTAGGCTTCCATTCAAACCCATTAGTTTAGGGTTACCTTAATTTAATGACTCGGCACCGTAACGTATTTAAAATTTATTGTTTTAAGTTTCTTTTTCCTGAATTCGCGCTTCACAAAGTAAAGGAACAAAAATGATAAGAAGTTAAGTGTCTTTTTGAGTTAACTCGCATAGCAAAACTTTGCGGCATCGAGATCACGAATTAAAATTTCAAGGTCATATTTTAAGTTGTTATAAATTACCCATTGCTTGAATTTTGACGACCTATATTATTCTGTTCGACGCCTAACATTGGATCGGGTGAAACAATGTTTTAGTATGCAGATATTAACAAACAAAATCACCAGCATAAATATCCAATAAGGTATTTCACCCATTAAATTTTCTTTATCCGGGCTTGTATTTAAATAATAAGCGTTTGTTCATGAAAACCTATTGCTTCTTTCAAACGTTGAGTTTTTGTAATCAAATAGGGGCACATCATAAGATGCGCGGTTGACAGACTATCCCATTATGTTATTATTCTGACATCTTCTGATCTTACATTATTTGCAATTTTCTTATCGTAATTTAAATTATCCGTTCATTATATGTGAATGAATATAATACGTGTTTTTATGCATATCGGTATCATTGAACTGAAAGCAGTTTATTTATAGAAATAAACCATGTTTTATAGTCTAGCTTCACTGGTTTATTTATTGAATTCGGTAGGAATATCTTACGCTATGTCTTTACTGATATAAAGTAGTTAGACCTCCAATCGGTTAAAGTGTAACTTTGACCGAGTATAGACAGGAACCTGCTGAAAGAAAGAAAAACTCTGTGCAAGTGTTAAGATGACCTATTAGCGACAGGAGGGGATGTCGTCTCCTGACTATCAGGTCAAAAAAGACTGGTTCTGTTGTTACTTGAGAGAGAACGTCTTCCTCTGACTGTAATGGTGTCCAGAACTTTCCTAGGATACTCTTCAAACCTAAGTCTATCATATCTAACTTTTTAAAATTATGGTATTTTATGAAAGTCAAAGCACACAAAAGTATAAGATCTTAAAGTTGAGTTTCTATAACGCTACGAGAAAGTAGCGTAAATTTTTTAGAGCTATTCAGATAACAAAATATGTTATCAGTGTAAAAATATGTCATTAAACGAAGTCAGTGACAAAATTATACTTTATTAGTGTAGTGACAAAACTATGCAAAGAAATGCATTAACTAGAGCTGGTTAGAATTTAACATTTCCACTTTCCATGTTTTCTTTTTAAAGTTACATAGAAAATAATCAATCAAACAAATCAGTAATCACGACTGTCATTATGATTCAGTGAAGTGACAGCATAAATACACTAACAATCAATATTTAAAATTGCGGGATCAAGGCTAAAATAATTCACACACATCCTTTGTCAAGAAAGTACCTATTCTCATTACAAGTGACTGATATAAAACATACATTATGTCTAGGTATAACTTAATATTAGAAGCAAAACTGGTTCCATTCCATTTAAAAAAATATTGTATGATATGTATAGGGGTAAACATCTTATATAATAGAACATGAACTGGAATTTTCTAGAAAAGCTAGACACATCTCCCGTGTACAAACTATATATAGACCGCAGAACATAAACGATCGGCGGTACCGACTTATTTAAGTTTATGTCTAACATTCATACTGAAGTGTCGTACGTCATTATTCTTATTAAATAGATGGGAGTAAATTAACTAGTCTGGCTACTTTAAAATCTTTAAAATGTAATAATACACATTTATATCGACACACATATTATTCTTATTTTGTAGTTTGGGTATGTAAATACATATATTAAGAATTCATAGATTCTAATTGTGATTCTTAAATTAGATGAATTAATTTATAATTATATCCTGTTTAAATCTTACACACAAATCGTGTGCCACTAAGAAAGTAAACCGCCGCATCGCTGAGGAGAAGGTAAATTTAGACTCATTTATAGGCTTAGCGGTTTGTAAAGCAAGACTGAGAAAAAGAAATATATTACTATTTAATGATCAACGAGAATTCTATAAATAAATCCTTACCGGTCTTCGATCAATAACACTGCTCAAAAATGTTGACCAACTTAACAGTGCTCGAAGGTCCGCGTTCATTGTGACCACAGACTGAAAATATGTTGTTAGTAAGTGGCATAAACATCTTTTCAATGGCATTCTAAGTACTATTTTACACAGATACCTACAAAACTTTACACCAATTCGGAATACTAAATTACGGAATACGCCCTAACATTCTTTTCAACAAGGTAACGTGTCTTATACGAGTACATACATACGACTACATATTACCCCTCTTATCTTACAACTTAGCTCAAAGCATTGATTTAGCTTTTAGAGCCATGTAGGTTAGTCCAGAGAAACTAAGTTTCATCATTGGCGTATCATTCACCCTATGAATATAAGGATATTCATAGGGTGGGAGTGAGGTGTAATCCTTGTTAGCCTAATGTCTCCACCAGGTACTAATTGGTTACTAGGAGTATCTCTCATAGGCCTATGGATGCTCTCGCCATAATCTTTAAGGAAAAGTATCTCTTTTCGGAAAGATCTAATTATGTAAATATAATGTTTACAAAGATGCACAGTGTAGTAGAAAAAAAGCAGAGGTTTCTTTCCCCCTATCCCTATATGGATTGAACCGAACGGAATTCTGTAGCAAACCTTATCCATAAGTTTAAAAGAATCCAGAGACAGAGAATAGATTTAACCTCTGTCATTGCACCTTTTGCTAATAAGACCGACAAGCTCACAAAGACAAAGTATAATCGAAAATCAAGGTTCAATGAAAATAGAATTCCCTCTGATCCCAAACTAAGCAGAGGCTGTGCTAGGGTAATCAGACTCGCGCCGATTTCCCCCCCGGGCTGGGTGTAATCTGTTACGCAGACGATACCCTCGTGACAGCCCGGGGGGCAAACTTCCAAGAGGCGGCGCGCCTGGCCACAGGGGGAGTCTCCCTGGTGGTCGGGCGCATTGAGGCGCTGGGCTTACGGGTGGCCCTAGATAAGACGGAGGCCCTGTTATTTCATGGGCCCCGTCGTGGTCCACCCCCTGGCGCCTCAATCGTGGTCAACTCGGTCCTCGTACCGGTTCGGGCCCAGATGAAATATCTGGGCCTGATCCTCGACGGGAGGTGGCTCTTCGACGAGCACTTCCGACAGCTTGCTCCAAAGCTGGTCGGCGCTGCGTCCGCCCTAGGGCGACTTCTGCCCAATATGGGTGGACCCAGCGTCGCGACAAGACGGCTGTACACGGGGGTTTGTCCGGTCAATGGCACTGTACGGTGCACCGGTGTGGGCGGCGGCTCTGACCGCCCAGAATAGGGTACGCCTCTGGCGCCCTCAGAGGGTAATGGCGGTCAGAGCCATACGCGGTTACCGCACCGTTTCGACGGAGGTGGCGTGCGCGTTGGCCGGAACTCCCCCGTGGGATTTGGAGGCGGAAGTGCTCGCCGAAGTTTATCGGCGAGTGGCTGACTTCCGGGCGGAGAGCGGATTTCGCCCTCCGCCCGAGGATGTGCGCGAGTGGCGCGAAGCCGCTCGCCGAGCCACGATGGCTCGTTGGTCGTTCCGGCTGGAGACTCCACGCGCTGGCTTCGCCGCCGTGGAGGCTCTCCAGCCGGTCATCGCCGAGTGGGCAGGGCGGCAGCACGGGACCCTTTCCTTCCGGCTGACGCAGGTGCTTTCCGGGCACGGTTGCTTCGGGAAGTACCTGCACACGGTCGCTAGGAGGGAACTGAGTCCCGCCTGCCACCACTGCGACTGCAGTGAGGACTCGGCCCAGCACACGCTGGCGGTCTGCCCCGCATGGGCGGCGCAGCGTCGGGCCCTCACTGCAGTCATCGGAGTGGATCTCTCGCTACCGGCCGTAGTACGCTCCATGGCCGGTAGCGACAGTTGTTTTACCGCGGTCGCAACCTTCTGCGAGGTAGTAATCTCGCGGAAGGAGGCGGCGGAGAGGGCCCGGGAGGACGACCTCCACTCGGACCCGATCCGCCGCCGGCGAACCGGGCGGCGGAGGCCCGGCTATCACAGCCTCATGCCGCCCTGAGTGTGGCCGCGGGTGGACGGGGTGGGTTTCCCCTCCACCCGCATTAGTTGGCCAGCCGCGAGGGGGCGGCGTCCGCGTGTGCCGGACGCCGCCTAAAGAGAGGAACAATATCGAGACGGAGCCCGCACCAGGAGCGGGCTGGCGCTAGGAGGGGTCCGGATGTCTTAACAACAGCTGTTCCCGGATCCCTCCTGTTACAGGCGCAGAGTGGCACACCGTGTGGTTTTAGTCGGTCCGAGTCCGACACACCACCCCGCCGCAAACCCCGGAGGGGTGACGGTCCGAGGGGATTTCCACACGTTAAAAAAAAAAAAAAAGGGTAATCAGACTGCTGATACGAGTAAACACACTTATATATTTCCAAATACACACATATAGATAAATTACGACGAAATTTCGACGACGACCTCATGATAGCCACCGAATAGAAACAGTAGATGAGTATGTTTACTTTAGTCATCGTCCTTTGGCCGGGGCTCCCAGTTGCGGGAAATTGCTATTTAACTTGGCTGCTTTTGGAAAATTGGAAGACGTCTTCAAGTCAAAAACGTCGCAATGTCTGAAAACCAAGACATTCCACCAATGTGATCTGCCTTTTATCGCTTATGGATCCGAAACATAGACTCTCTCAAACGAGCACATGTATTCCATAAGGGTATATCAAAGAGCCACGGAGCAGGCCATGATAGGTATCCACCTCGTGGACCGTATACCAAACGTCGAAATTCGAAGCCGCACCAAAGTTGAAGATGTGGGTATACTGATTGCGAGGCTTAAGTGGAGATGGGCAGGGCACTTGGCCAGACAGGACGGCGACCGATGGACTAAGGCAGTTACCGAATGGTGGCCAACAGATATCCGACGGCCTCGAGGCAGACCATCTGCCCGATGGTCAGATGACATTGTGGTAGGAGAGAATGGATCCGACTGGCACAAAACCGCCAGGAGTGGCGTGATAGAGAAGAGGCTTATACCCAGCAGTGGGTGCGACAGGCTGCTTGGATAGATAAATTACAGCCAGACCATGGTAAGCCCGAGGTAGAGGTTTCCATTTCCACCTAGGACAAATATTGTGTGATGAGCATGGTCATTTGTTCTGTGTATTGGTGTAATTTATCTATAATATGTATATATTTAGAAATATATAAGCATGTTTATCAGCAGTCTGGTTACCATAGTACAGGCACTGCCTAGTTTGGGATCAGAC